TAAACTGAACACGGTCATCAATTCTGAGGGCCAGCTGCTGCTGGGCATCCAAAACACGCTGGACATCACCTAATAACCGAGAGGTACGCGCGACGTAAACATGATCAGGTTAAAGCTTTTTCAATTGTATGGACAGGGCACGTTCATAATACTCCTTAGCCTCTTCATGGTCACCCAAGTCTTCATGAAGGGTACCCATGTTATGGTACGTACGTGCGACGTCAACATGGTCGGGTCCAAGATTTTTCAATCGTATGGACAGGGCACGTTCATAATACCCCTTAGCCTGTTCATGGTCACCCAAGTGGTGATGTAGGATACCCATGTTATGGTACGTACGAGCGACGTCAACATGGTCGGGTCCAAGCTTTTTCAATTGTATGGACAGGGCACGTTCATAATACTCCTTAGCCTCTTCATGGCCACCCAAGTCTTTCTGTAGGGTACCCATGTCATGGTACGTACGTCCGACGTCAACATGGTCGGGTCCACGCTTTTTCAATTGTATGGACAGGGCACGTTCATAATACTCCTTAGCCTGTTCATGGTCACCCAAGTCTTTATGTAGGGCACCCATGTTATGGCACGTAAGTGCGACGTCAAGATGGTCGGGTCCACGCTTTTTCAATTGTGTGGACAGGGCACGTTCATAATACCCCTTAGCCTGTTCATGGTCACCCAAGTGGTGATGTAGGATACCCATGTTATGATACGTAAGTGCGACGTCAACATGGACGGGTCCAAGCTTTTTCAATTGTATGGACAGGGCACGTTCATAATACTCCTTAGCCTCTTCATGGTCAGCCAAGTCTTTATGTAGGGTACCCATGTTATGGTACGTAAGTGCGACGTCAACATGTTCGGGTCCAAGCTTTTTCAGGCGTATGGACAGGGCACGTTCATAATACTCCTTAGCCTGTTGATGGTCACCCAAGTCTTTATGTAGGATACCTATGTTATGGTACGTAAGTGCGACGTCAACATGGTCGGGTCCAAGCTTTTTCAATTGTATGGACAGGGCACGTTCATAATACTCCTTAGCCTGTTGATGGTCACCCAAGTCTTTATGTAGGATACCTATGTTATGGTACGTAAGTGCGACGTCAACATGGTCGGGTCCAAGCTTTTTCAATTGTATGGACAGGGCACGTTTATAATACTCCTTAGCCTGTTCATGGTCACCCAAAACTTTATGTAGGACACCCATGTTATGGTACGTACACGCGACGTCAACATGGTCGGGTCCAAGCTTTTTCAATTGTATGGACAGGGCACGTTCATAATACTCCTTAGCCTGTTGATGGTCACCCAAGTCTTTCTGTAGGGTACCCATGCTATGGTACGTACGTGCGACGTCAACATGGTCGGGTTAAAGCTTTTTCAATTGTATCGACAGGGCACGTTCATAATAACCCTTAGCCTGTTCATGGTCACCCAAGTGGTGATGTAGGATACCCATGTTATGGTAGGTAAGTGCGACGTGAACGTGGTCGGGTCCAAGCTTTTTCAATTGTATGGACAGGGCACGTTCATAATACTCCTTAGCCTCTTCATGGTCACCCAAGTTTTTATGAAGGGCACCCATGTTATGGTACGTAAGTGCGACGTCAACATGGTCGGGTCCAAGCTTTTTCAATTGTATCGACAGGGCACGTTCATAATACTCCTTAGCCTGATGATGGTCACACAAGTCGTTATGTAGGTTACCCATGTTATGGTAAGTGTCCGCGACGTCAACATGGTCGGGTCCAAGCGTTTTCAATTGTATGGAAAGGACACGTTCATAATACTCCTTAGCCTGTTCATGGTCACCCAAGTCTTTCTGTAGCGTACCCATGTTATGGTACGTACGTGCGACGTCAACATGGTCGGGTCCAAGCTTTTTCAATTGTATGGACAGGGCACGTTCATAATACTCCTTAGCCTGTTGATGGTCACCCAAGTCTTTATGTAGGATACCCATGTTATAGTACGTACTTGCGACGTCAACATGGTCGGGTCCAAGCTTTTTCAATTGTATCGACAGGGCACGTTCATAATACTCCTTAGCCTGTTGATGGTCACCCAAGTCTTTATGTAGGATACCCATGTTATGGTACGTAAGTGCGACGTCAACATGGTCGGGTCCAAGCTTTTTCAATTGTATGGACAGGGCACGTTCATAATACTCCTTAGCCTGTTCATGGTCACCCAAAACTTTATGTAGGACACCCATGTTATGGTACGTACACGCGACGTCAACATGGTCGGGTCCAAGCTTTTTCAATTGTATGGACAGGGCACGTTCATAATACTCCTTAGCCTGTTGATGGTCACCCAAGTCTTTCTGTAGGGTACCCATGCTATGGTACGTACGTGCGACGTCAACATGGTCGGGTCCAAGCTTTTTCAATTGTATCGACAGGGCACGTTCATAATAACCCTTAGCCTGTTCATGGTCACCCAAGTGGTGATGTAGGATACCCATGTTATGGTAGGTAAGTGCGACGTCAACATGGTCGGGTCCAAGCTTTTTCAATTGTATGGACAGGGCACGTTCATAATACTCCTTAGCCTCTTCATGGTCACCCAAGTTTTTATGAAGGGCACCCATGTTATGGTACGTAAGTGCGACGTCAACATGGTCGGGTCCCAGCTTTTTCAATTGTATGGACAGGGCACGTTCATAATACTCCTTAGCCTGTTGATGGTCACACAAGTCGTTATGTAGGATACCCATGTTATGGTAAGTGTCCGCGACGTCAACATGGTCGGGTCCAAGCGTTTTCAATTGAATGGAAAGGACACGTTCATAATACTCCTTAGCCTGTTGATGGTCACCCAAGTCGTGGTGTAGGATACCCATGTTCTGGATTATTACCGCTTCTTCTAAGTGATTAGGCATTGTCTTGTTCTCTTTGTCTTCGCTGAGTTTTAAAGCTACACTGAAATAGTCCATTGCTGATTGGTACTCACTATTGGAATGGCAAACACGACCAAGCGCGAGAAAGTCATACACAGTTATACATAATTCTTCAATAGTGATTTTGATAAAACCGAATTTCTCTGTAGTAAAGAAAATATTTTTAGTTTCGGCAGTTAGAGTTCTCAAGTGTGGAACAATATGCCTACTTTCACACACAGAATCTCCACTTTGCAGGATCTTTGGTATTGCTTCTTTTATAAACTTACTAAATGACTCCACCGCAACACAAACAACTCGGACATGTTCATCAGCTTGGTGCATTTCTTCTTTAACTAAATTCTTGGCAATAGTGTATACTACATTATGCAAACGAATGAAGACATCATCCTCATTTTCGATTAACAGCAAGGAGGACCCTTGGATCTGAATGTCTATTTCCTCTTGATCCAACTCTCCATCAGCATTTACAACGTAAGTGGTCAACAGGTGTAGCCTTACTGGCTCTGGTGCACAAAAAGCAAGGAAAGTGAAAACATGCTTCATTATTTTATTAGAATCAATTTCCGCTTGAATGGCTATCCTAATCGCTTCTGTCATAGAGTCCGGGTAGATATTGTTTACTTTGGTAAGTTCTTCTTCAGTACGTTCACGTTTCCCTTTTTCCAGTTTTTTCAAGTACCCTTCCCAGCCAAAGTCTGGATCGGTTTTTCGTACCTTTCTCACGTAGATTCCTGCGCTGGCTAGTGCAAGTGGCTGGTAATCCAAAGCGCGTGCTACCTTTTTCCCCATACCATCGTCTGTGATTCCAGTGAGCTCGAATAGAAGTTCGACAGCGTCAATGTCGTTCATGCCTTTGCTTATGGAAAGGTGGGATGTGAATGGACTCTCAGGAGGGATACAGGAACAATCCTGCGTTGTGATTAGCAGCTGGCCTTTGCTCCAATGCTCATTTCCACGCTTAGGAAGAAACTGACCCATTCTAGCCAGATTTGTGACATTGTCAATCACCAAGAACCAAGATGAGTAAAGGTGAATTTTTGTCGTAATCAAATCTTTGATAATGGCTATCTTCTCTTCAATATTTAAATCTTTTGAGTTTTCGGTGGCAGTTATAGTATACGCTGGACAGCTTATTTTTCTTGCCAGTGACAAGTATGATGCTAAAAGTGATTCTAAGTTTTCAGCATTTAAAGTCATAACAAATGACGGAGCACTCGTGTCTTTCCGTGCTTCTTTGTAGAAATTTTCGGCAACCAGTCCAGCCAGCTGGGATTTGCCACTCCCGGGATTTCCTGTAATATAACAATAACTTAAATTGTTCTCGCTAGCCTTTCTTAACTTTAACAGCCTCTGTGTTACTTTAGCAACATCACAATCTCGACATGCAATCACATGGGGAGGTCTGGGTGGAAGGACGCAAAATGGTTGTACTTCACGTTGTAGTTGCTCTTCAAAGACCTTGCGCTGTTCTTCCGTAGTTTTAAGCCTCTCTTTATTTTCTTGAAGCTCTACTTCCTTATCCTGAAGCTTGGCATGTTTCTCTTGTAACTTATTTTTTTCTTCCTGAAGTGCCACATCTTTCTCCTGCAATTTAGTATCTTTGTCTTGAAGTTCGGCGACTTTCGTCTGAAGGTCTTGAGTAAGTTTCTGATTACTTGTCTTCACATTGTGCAGCTCATCGGTTGGAAAACTTTTCTGCTTACTTACAGCTTGGATATTAGCCGTAGGCAGGCCAAGAGCACGAAATGCTGTCTCAACTTTTCCAACAGTGACACTGAAATCTGCATTAGAGAGCTGCCCTTCTGTCATATGAGCGAAGTCTTCATTTCAGAAATTTCTGAGATCATCAACATTGGTCCTGAACAGTGGACTCAGTCCATGTCCGATAGAATCAGAATACAGGATCGCATAAAATAGCATAGTACAGTCCCATTCTGTTCTGTCTCCATTTATCATCGTAGCTAACAATCGGGCATTTTTTCTTTGATTAGCAGGAGATTCGCCGTTTTTGAAGTCCAATCCATTTTGAGGCGTGTCTTTCCATTCTCCATAAGTTGTCTTGTAACGATTGTCCCATTCCTGCTTGAACAGTGATCTTAAAGCTGGTGGCAGTATATCAGTGGCTATGTGACAAACCCGGAAGTAGTTAAGCTGCTCTTCTGAGTACATTTTAGCCCCCATTCGGTTACAGAGAGGAGACAGTCTTGAAACCTGTTTTAAAAAAAAAAAAAACAATTTAGCTACGCCGAACAGTATAACGGAAACCAGAGTACTCATGGGCAAAACTGCTAGCAAATTATAGTTTCTCTGATTAGGCGAGATGACTAAAGCCACTCTTTGTCGCAAAGAAAACAAATCCTTAAAGACAATGTGCATATTTTAATAAGAAATACAACACGCAAACTGCGTTAATAAACATAAAAAGCAGTGAGGGATTTTTGACATTTTAACTTTAATAATAGAGCTGCAAACTACAAGTATCTTCAATTAATTAGACTGCGATCTGCCCATCTTTTGTTCAAAGATCCTTCAAATGTTTAAACGCGTTGAGCAATTAAAGTTCGGAAAATAAACGCGGCCAATTAAAAAACAGATTGGAATGAGACCAGAAAACAAAACTGAGACAAGCCGCTTATATTTCGCCACTCGGTTGCTAACCCAAGCATGACCCATAAGGACTGTCAGAAGCCCGGGGGGGAGGTTAGTCCCTTTAATGGCAAATACTTCCTAGGTTTTAAGGGAGCAACTATTTGAAACAACCCGGATTCCTTCAGATATAAGAAACATATTAAGTTCGTATAAAATGTTTTAGAATAAAGTCAAAGTGTATGTAATTTTACTCCCGGCTTAAAAAGAAATAGTTTTTCATAGACTGTTTCTTAAAGAAGGAATTCGAAGAATGCTATGCTTTACATCCATTTAGAATACAGCGGAGATCATCTAAAAGCTCAACAATTCTTGCTTCATCTCCTCTCTTGTAATTATATAATAGGTTATGTGTATGAATGTATGGTGAATAAAGGTACCTATTTCTTCAAAAGGGGTTGGACTTAGGAAGGAGCCTTCCCTTATAAAACTTGTTGAGTGGCCCCCCGGGGTTAGAAGCTTTCAAGGAAATATGACTCAGAGAGATTGTTCGCCATCTTAAGAAAACCAAAAGAGGCCTTTCTCACGATAACTGGTAAGATCGCCCTTAGCCTAATATCTACGGCCAACGCTTTGTTTAGGATAACGAAGAGTTTTCGTACTTCAAACTCCCTTTCGCAGAGCCTATGGCACTGCAGATGTGATGCGCTGAAGATTACGCGCGTACGGTATTGACTTTGCTATTTGAATATTTTCATACTTTACCGATTGTATGTTTAAGGTCCTCCTCAACCGAAAAGGAAATGCTGTCGATGAACGATGAAATGTAACGAACTAAATCGAACCAGTGTTCAGCAAAATGAATATACAACTATTCGCTTCGTTTAGCGCTTCTCACTCTTGATTGCCGAGGGCTTAGACGTAATTGATACCCGTCCCACGCACGATCAGGCGATCTCGGGATCACGCGACGACCACATAAATGCAGCCATTTCATTTTCGGTTAATCCGTTGTTCAGTGTCTGCTGTTATATTCACCAATATTTTACAGTCAACTCTTCGTCTCTTCCAAGTAAAAATAATTCATGTTCAGTGTTTTGATCTTTTGATCTAAAATCTCCTCTCCCCTAACCCCTTAGGAAGGCCTGATACTCAGGCTATCACAGTTTATATTAAAATCACTTTAGAGCTGAACGTGACCCATCTTAAATTCGCGGTTACTAAAACATGGAACGACCTAAAACCACCTAAAACCACCTAAAACCATCTACAACCACCTAAAACCACCTACAACCACCTCAAAAAATTCGACAACCACCTCAAAAACATCTACAACCACTCGCAAACAATCTAAAACCATCTAAAACAAGGTATAAATGTCTCATATAAGGCGAGACAACATGTCACGTACATGAAATACGAGAATCAAACAAAACATCCACTTCCCCCCAAAATCTTACTCTCCCTGGTCCCTTGTATCATCAACCATTAAGCTTAACACAAAACTTCCACCGCACTGTCCTCTTATGTTGGGAGAGCTGGGATATAAGTTTGATTTTGTTTCCTCTCTCTTGTGAAACTCATCGACAATTTGATTATAATTTAAGCAACAACTGATGGTTTGTGATTTTTAATTGTTTTAAAATCATGTTTAAAATGTCACATTACCAGTGATTACCTTGTTTTCTTCTGAATCCATTGCATTATAGATTTTATTTTAATAACATTTTTAACAATGATTACACCTACTAGTCTCCGTTTCCTGTGTCGTGACGCAAGGGAGTTTAGCCTTGCGTGATGACACCGGAAACGGGGGTGAAAGACAATAGGGTTAATCCAAAGGAGTCAACGGGAATGTACAAACATGTTTGGTGGATGATAAACAGATGCTAAAAAAATTAACTTGTCCTTAGGAATGTAATCCGCCACCTCAGAACAAAACAGCAGTGAAGCAGACTCCGAGAGAGAGAGAAACCCTACCTTGTGCTGTTATGTAAACAAATGAAACGTGAACCAAAACGTCTCACTGGTACCCAGGGTGAAAAAGCCAAATCAAGTCTTCGACTACGAGTTTGTTATTTTATTTTATTATTTTTTGTGACTTGATAGTTCATTTTGTAAAGTTCTTTAAGTCTTTTAATATACTTAGCATGATCTCGCATTTCATTTCGTGACTTAAGCCAATGGTTGATGATACAAGGGACCAGGGAGAGTAAGATTTTGGGGGGAAGTGGATGTTTTGTTCGATTCTCGTACTTCTTTGTTGTCTCGCCTTATTTGAGACATTTATACCTTGTTTTAGATGGTTTTAGATTGTTTGCAAGTGTTTGTAGATGTTTTTGAGGTGGTTGTAGATGGTTGTAAGTGGTTGTTGAATTTTTTGAGGTGGTTGTAGGTGGTTTTAGGTGGTTGTAGATGGTTTTAGGTGGTTTTAGGTCGTTCCATGTTTTAGTAACTACGATCTTAAATTTTTGGAATTAGTCCAGCTTTGTACTGTCAAATAGAGTCCAGAGTCCTTAGTTGTTTACCATTCACAAAAAGATTCCAGAAAATCCGGTTCACTTTTTGGGTCGTTAGAGCGGAAAATTTCCGGGAGCAACGGAACATTGAAAAGGTAGTCCTTTTTTCCGGACGGAATATTCCAAACAGAAATTCGTTTTCCATTTCTTCAAAGCCATTCAGGCCTTCGCGGTCGTTTTCCGGTAAATAAAACCGATTCGTACAAATGGTAAACGCGATTTCCGGGGCGAAATTTACCAGTCCTGAATTATGTGTACCATTTGCCTAAACCGTGGATCGACCGGTCAGGGGCACGCAACGGGAAATTTTGAGGAAAAGACCTAAAAACAACAGCAAAGCATGAATAAAGGTTTCTGAAGCCATTTTAAGCATTTTGGGAGATTGCTGGGAAAAATTTATCTGTTCCTCACTCCCAGCAAGACTGATGGAAGAGTTCCGACCCAGCAAGATGCAGCTAAAACCTGCAACCTGACTTAATGGGAAGTTTCCCAGTAGACGTATGTCCATTACTGGCCAGTTTGGGTGTGGTCATAGGCCAAAATTCGCCCCTTTAGTAGACGGGGTGGGGGAGACGTTTCGTACAAATAGCAAATACACCCTGAGTTGTCTTCTCCCAGCAACACTCCCCTTCCAAATCTCCCAGCCAGCAAAAATTTGCCTGAAGAACAGATATTTTGAGGAACAGATCCATTGGGTGCCCCTGACCGGTTTGCCCATGTAAGTGGTAAACAACCCTTCTCGGCGCAGACTACAACCCCATTTACACGCGCTAAAAAATGGGCACGGAACGCCAAATTTTTGGCACCGTACTGACGATTTTAAGGCACGGCACTCCCAATTTTCGACGTGTAAACGTATCGGTCCCAAATGTAATGTGGCACCAGTGCTCATAATTTTAGGGGTACAGAGACTACCTCCCGGAGGTAGTCTCGGCACGGGTAAACGTAGCCTGAGTATCAGGCCTTCCTAAGGGGCTAAGTGAGAGGAGATTTTAGATTGGCCTGATACTCAGGCTAGGGTAAACGAGGCACGGTGCCTAAACTTTGGCGTACCGTGCCGATTTTGTTTACGAGTTTCTTGGTCCGTCGAGCAAAACGCGCGAGACACCCAAATGACCACGCGCGTGAATGAAGGCGCGAGACGGGAAAGGCACAAAAAAGAGAGACTATCCGCAAAAACAAAAACAGAGAGAATGGTCTTTCACTGTCTTGTGATTTTTTGGCAAGAAAAATCAAGTGTCGACAAGCCAAGCATGTCAATCGTGACTTTAAAGTTTGCTTGAACAACAGATGTTTTCCTTCTTTTCTTTCTAACGGGTAGCTTCTGCAGTGCATGGAGTCGATTCCAAACTAATTGACTTAGCAAATCTTAATTTTGGCCGCTGGTCTCACATTTAGAGGTAATGAAGCTGGTCTATTTCTGGTATGTTAATAAGCCTTTTCCTGTGGTTTATGTTTTGAATAACATCACCCGAGGCCTAGCTCTTTTCTTGTTTGCGGGATGTTGAATTCTCACGGCATAGTGTTCTACATGTCCTAATTGTAGCTTAAACTAACTATAGAGAATTGCGCTGTAAGTCTCTCCAGGTTGGGCGCCAATTTGTTTGTTTGTTTTTTCTTCAGATTCAATGTAACCGAATCTTTATTCCCAGGGGGAGAAGGGGCGCTCCCTATGAAGGCCCCTTTTTGCCTAGTCTTCTCGGG